GATTCCTGATACTATTATTGGTTTGGGTAATAATATGAGCTGAGATAGTTCGATGTAAATTCCCTTCTTTAAACTCTTGCCGTTGAATTGGTGTTTAGACGTAAGTACCGTATTTATTCGATAAAGTTCCCAATCTCGAATAAGCGCCCACCCTGAAGGTAGAAAAAGTTTATAAGCGCCCAGCCTCGAATAAGCACCCGCCCCCAAAAAGTACTTTTTAAGCGCCCAACCTCGAATAAGCGCCCACCCCCCCAAAAGAAAAAAAATAATAAAGTGCCGAAGAGGAATACAGGTATTGATTATTACGGTGTTTCATTAATGGCTTACAATCTCTAGTTTCATTGTCTGAAAATTTTATGATTACGTTGGAATTTTTCTCAAAGTTTCAACTGAAATGTCCATCTGGGCGCAAAGTTCTTTGAGCCACAAAATCTCCCGCTCAAACTTCGTGGCAATAGTCCTGCTTGGTGCCCGCGCTTTCAATGTTCCTGGCGTAACAAGTCCGTTCTCCAGCCTTCTTGACCCTGTTACTTTAGCAGAAACCTCATTATCGTCGTAAGCTCTCAGATATGTATAGATGAGGTAAGATAGTTCCATTGGCACATGTCCTACAAGCTCGCTGCCGGTATTAGCTTCCAAATACGTCCCAATTGCATATTCGTCATGTTGTTTGGCTTCCTTGCGATCATCCTCGCGGCAGTTAAGTTTCTCTCCTAAAGTTGGAGTCCACACAGATTTATAAATATGATGACCTCGTATAACTGATATGAATTGCACTTAAAACACAAAGTTCCATTTCAGATAGTGAAAACTTGAGCAATGCAATTCACATTGAATGCTCTGGCACTAAAAGCGAGTTGTTCAGTATGCTAAGCTACAGCGGAAGCCACACGTGTTTCCTGTTACGTACCGTGAGCTCTTTGATTGTCGTTCTTGCACATAATTACCTTATTGTAAACTTGTGGGATCTAGCACCTTCGTGCATTCATGTGATCTTGAAACTGACAGATCAAATATTTGATTCCAGAGATGTTTAAAGAGATATAAATCACATAAATCACGTTTTCATTTTCCATTTGATCTGAAAGCATGGAGACTGATACATTTCAGTCTCATGCCGGCAGAAAAGTAAGTTCGTACTCGACCGAATATAAATTAGAAGCTATAAAGTTTGCCGAAGAAAGTAAAAGCATCTCTAGCGCAGCAAAAAAGTTAAATGTAGACCGTAAGAGAATTCGTGAATGGCAAAGCGCCAAGGCAAAACTTCAGGCTGCGGATAACAAGAGGAAACGTCTTGATGGAGGAGGTAGAAAACCATTTGATGTTGGCCTGGAAGACGAGCTTTTAGAGTGGATACATGAACGCAGGTCCAGCGGCCTTCGAATGATTTTGCACAAAGCGCGAGCTGGTCATGAGCAAAAATGCAAGGCATGGCAGGTTTCTCCATCTTTTATTGCCAGTAATGGCTGGGTCCAGAAGTGTATAAGCAGGAATGGGCCGTCTGTGAGGTGCAGAACCACTGAATCGCAGAAAAGACCCAAGACTTATCAACAAGCTTATTGCCTACATCTTACAAGTACGACGACAGCGAAGCAGGCATTCCTACAGTCATAGTGACATTATTGCCATAAACGAAACAGCTGTTTGGAAAGATATGCTGTCCAGCGCTACTGTTGACAAAGTGGGAGAAAGTTCAATTCGACTGAAGACAGCTGGACATGAGAAGTCCAAAGTCTCTGTCTCTTTGACAGCAAAGGCACACGGAATAAATCTAAAGCCGTTTATTGTCTTTCCGGGAGCTACGAGAGAAACAAAGCAGCTTAATGAGGAGTTTAAAAATAAGTGCTATGTAGCCTCTTCTGTGAACGGATGGATGAATGAAGACCTGTCTCGTGACTGGGTGCAAGGAGTATTAGGCAAGTTCTCATTTACTCGTCGGATGTTGGCTTGGGACTCTTAAATGCCACATCACAGACAGCGTCAAGCAAGAACTCGCACAGGCAAAGATCGACCCTGTCATAGTACCCGGTGGTTGTACTAAGTATATCCAAGCCCCTGACGTGGCATGGAATAAGCCCTTCAAGGCCAAAATAACTAAGAAGTACAATGTGTGGATGGCTGACGGAGCTCATTCATTTACAGCTGCAAGAAACATGCGTTGCCCACCTCTTCCTGAAATCGTCAAGTGGGTTCTTGAGGCCTGGGAAACTCTAGACAGAGAGTTAATTATCCGTTCGCTCAGAAGCTGCGCGCTTACTGTGGCTCCTGACGGATCTGAAGATGATCAGATTCATTGCCTAGAGGGTCAACCTTGTCATTCAGGACAAGATCGCCCGGCATCCATCCAGCAAGCCCTAACAACTTCTTACGCGACTGACCCATTTTCTGACGTTATGCTGTCGGATGTCGAGGAGGCAGCACCAGAAAGTTCACTTATTGAGCTGAGTGACGATGACATTGAAGTTGATTGAGAATTATGATAGCAAAAGAGACTTCTGCGAAGACCGAACAATGAGTTGTTAGTCCTGGGCATAAACCGAACAATGAACAGTTACAATTTATATGCTTTAGTATTTTATCATGTTTTGTTCTCATTTATTGTTTTGTTACAAAATAAACTTTTTACTTACTGAAAATGGTGAAAATGCGTTGAGCGCCCAACCTCGAATAAGCGCCCACTTCGAATAAGCGCCCACCCTGAAAGTCCAAAAATTAAATAAGCGCCCTGGTCGCTTAATCGAATTAACAAGGTATTCACACTGTCGTTTGTCACCTCGTTTTCATATATCACGTTCGAGTCGATATATCGTGGGAATCCTCCGTCCAGTTTTCTTCGCGTCTGAGTCGCAAATGGGTTGAAAACGTAAATTAGCCACCGTAAAGGGTAAAAAAGCTGACGTTTCGAGCGTTAGCCCTTCGTCAGAGCGATTGGAGGAATTGTGGGTTGTGTTTGGGTTTATATGCAGAAAGTGGGAATATGGTGGGAATATGGTGACGAGAAAACAGGAATAAATTAGTTGAATGAAAAACGCTCGTTGATTCCGCGGGGATTAAGGGTGCCGATTTGGAAGATAAATTTTTGTTCTAGTGTTTTACGGCTTTCCGAACTGCCTAGATGTAAGGAAAGGCCGCAAACTGCCATATGCTGTTTAGAATAATTAGGAAGATTAAAGTGTCTAGCGACTGGTTTGGATGCGTCCTTGTCATTTCTTTCCACGTCGCGAAGGTGTTCTCGGAATCGGTCACCTAGTCGTCTTCCTGTTTCGCCGATGTATAACTTATTGCAATAAGTGCAAGTTCTGCAGTAAATAATATTGGCGGAGGTACACGTAAAGTGATCAATGATCTTAATGGATCTCTAGGGTCCCGATATTTTCTCTACGTTATGAATGGAAGGACAAGTTTTGCATCGTGAGCGAGCGCATTTAAAAGTTCCAGATTGGTCATTGGTTTGAAATGAACTCCTGACTAAAAAGTTGCCTATGTTTTTGTCACGTTTGAATGAAATAAGTGAGGGTTTTGGAGTAATTTAAATTTTTAAGAATGATAGATTTAATTGCGTGGTTGTGAGGGTGAAATGTAAGAGTAAATGGAATGCGGTCAGTGTTTTCCTTCTCAGCCGTTTGTAGTGCTGACTGTCGATCAATTTGTTGGGCACGGTGGTGGCCCGCTTGAACGACAGAAACAGGATAGCCACGTTTATCGAAAAACTGGCACAAACTGAAAAATCTGATTCGTCACTACATAAACGACGAATTCTGAGAAACTGTGAAAAAGGTATGGAGTTTTTGACGTGTGATGGATGTGAAGATGAATACAACAAGTAATTATGTGAATCTGTAGGTTTGTAGTAAACACTGGTGGGGAATAAGGGTGCTATACTCTCCCACCGACGCAGCACCACAGTTTCTTTACAAACTTACCCCTTTATGGAGAACGAACAGCCAACCTCGAAGAACGGAGAACTAGGTGAAAATCCGGTCTTAAATCTATGATATCAGCTCAACCCTAACGCGAACCACTTGGCGGGAAGACCTCCTTTTGATGTCTTCAATGCTGAGTCTGAAGATATCGAGAGCTATATCGAACGGCTGCAAGAATATTTCACCGCCTTCGATATTAAGAACGACACGGACAGTCCCGCTAAACGAAGAGCAATACTCTTAACATCTACTGGAAGAGGTGCTTATCGAGTCTTAAAGGATTTGTCATTCCCGGACGCGCCGAGTGCGAAGACTTTTGACCAGCTTGTAACGCTGTTGCGCGGTCATTACACGCCCATTCGCTTGTAAGTCGCAGAAAGATACCGATTTTATTCTGCAAACCAGAAACCGAGGCAAAGCATCGTGGAGTTTGGGAGAGAGTTAAAACGTCTCGCGGGAAAATGCGAATTCACCAACGTGCAGTTAAGTGATATTCCACGCGATCTTTTCATCTGCGGGCTTTGCGCGGAGCAGATAAAGTGTAAATTATTTTCGACCAACTTCACTTTTCAAGAAGCAGTGCACGTTGCAATCGCCCAAGAAATAGCTCAGGAGGATGTGCGACACTTCGGAGGAAATCCTTACGGTGAAAGTTCTTCGTCGGGCGTAAATCAGGTTAAGCGTGACAAAGTGTGGTCACGCGGTCGCTCAGTAGGTCTACGTCGGCAAAGGAAACGCTGTTTTCGCTTCGGGCTAGCCAACCACACCCCAGACAAATGCAAATACAAGAATTCTGAATGTTTAACTGCCATTTAACGGATCATAGTCTGAGTGTCGCAATGCAAAACTACAACCGAAAGAGATGGCGAGCAAACAACATGTATATCACACGGAACAGGATTCAGAAGCTGGACTGCAGGAGAACATGGAAGATGAATTTCTTAGGTCTATTTTCACTCTGGAAGAGAGTTAGAAATTAGAGCTGCGTAACTGAGGACTTTCAGCAGATTGAAGGGGTAGAATTCCGGATGGAAGTCGACACGGGAGCGGCAGCTTCAATCTTATACTACACAGATTATGAGCGGTATTTCAAGTACCTTGCAGTGCGACCCAGTAGAAATACCATTCCCCTCTTATGCTGGTGCACTGTTGGACATTGCAGGACAGATTGTATGCACCGAACAGTGGCTGCAATGCCTATTTATGCTCGTTATTTTCCTGTCATATCTCTAGCACTTTTTATGTCAGCATCTATTTTAGTCGACTTTTCTCGTCTTTACAAAGTTTCTCATTTGGAAGAGGCGACTTTAAGAGCTCACTAGAGCGGTTTCCTTCGCTTGAAGCGAAAGCTGCTTGTAAAGCGGCTGGTGTGCTTAATGACTAAGCATGAATATTTTTGTTTTTTCTCTCCCTGTTGAATTGAAATAACCGTTAATATGGATGTATAACAAAATCCTGGACCAATTTCGTCATCTTCAAGATCCAAATAGATGCGGCCTTATCGTGGATGCCGGAGTGGAAGAACGGTCAGGGCGCGTGAAGCAACGAAGGTTTTTAATATTCAACCCGCCATGACACCTCGTTGTCACCAATTTTCATTTCACTCAGGACGGAATGACAATGATCTTGCTCGTATTCCGCTGATATCAAATCGGCCATGCTGTAGTCCACCACTACGTTTCGGTGTTTGGAATGCTCGCTCACTGAAAACCAAAGTATCGTCGCTACGTGATCTTATGTTGTCTTGTAGTCTTGACCTTCTATCTGTAACTGAATCGTGGCTTACCTCAAACGATAGTATTACCATTGCCGACCTCACGAATTCACTTGAAGATTACGCTTTTCATCACTTGCCAAGTTCCACTCGCAGAGGAGGTGGACTTGCTGTTATCGCACGCAAAGGGCTTCATGTTTCGCGAAATGAAGGCTGTATTTTTTCTTCGTTCGAACATTTTGATTCAACTATCACCTCTGGCAACAAGGTTTTTCGCCTTCTGAAAGTACATCTACCTCCACCGTCCAAGAAAAATGGCTTTACAGTAGAAAGGTTTTTCTCAGAATTCTCTGCGTTATCAGAAGAGTTGACTGTTACTTTCTGTCAATTCCTTCTTTGTGGTGATTTCAACTTTTACGTCGATATCGACTCAAATGCAAACGCCAAACAATTCTCTGACCTTTTTCTTCGGCTGATATGTCATCCTCTGTGCGAGCTCATTGGGAACACACCTTGGAACTGGTCGCAGAGCTGTGAAAAAGCCGTTTGTGCTGTGAAATGCGCCCTTACGTCGGCGGCAGCTGTATTGGCGTACTTGACCCTCAGTTTCCTGTGGAATTGTGGGTTGACGCCTCTCCATATGGTTTGGGTGCCGTTATTATACTCGTTTATCTCAATGGAAACCGCCGCCTGATTGCCTACGCGTCACAAACTCTGAAAGAACACGACAAAGCATTGAGTTACAACATCAGATTTGTTCTATCGAAGCGAAATACAGTGGCTGATGTGTTATCACGACTGCCCTTGCCCTCCACGTTTAACGAAGAGGATGCTATTTATAGAGTGGAAGAACGTCTGGTTCATTTGTTACCCATCACACAGTACTATCCAGAACGTAAGAGTTTGTCAAACAAGGATGGCCACAACATGTGGAGGATCTTCGCCTACAACTCTTTTTCAACCGCCAATTTGAGTCATCGGTAGAGCAAGGTTGTCTTCTGTGGGGACTACGGGTAATCAAACCTACCCGGTCTAGGAAGACTGGTTGGAAGAGTTGCGCACAGGTCACCCAGGCATTGTGCGGACGAGGGAAACGGCTGGTACTTACTTATGGTGGCCGAACATTGATCACGAAATTGAATAAGCTGTGAGAGGCTGCGGCTGCTGTCAACAAGTTAAAAAACCACCAGCAGTGGCTCCTCTTACACCTTGGTTATGGCCGAGTAGTCCTTCGTACCGAGTTCACTTTGATTACTTTTACGACGAAAATGGGCGTTACTTAGTTCTCGTTGACGCACATTCTCGCTGGCCTGAGATCTACTTCATGCGGCAAAACACGTCAGCAACGACAACTATGGCCATTTTTCGAGAACTATTCGCCAAATATGAATTGCCAGTGCATTGTAAGATTGTCCTCAATTTCGAAGCGAGGAATTTGCGCATTTTATGAAAGTCAATGGCGTCAAACACATACGTGTTGCTCCTTATCATGCAGCTAGTAATGTCTCGGGAGAACGGATGGTTCGTTCATTCAAGAACCACATGAAGGCCTGCAAAGGTAGTAAACTGTCGATTCAGCAACGTACTGCCAACTACGTGTTGACCTACCGGTCAATAAGGCATCCTACCACTGGCAGAACACCTGATGGCCTATTCCTGGGACAAGAGTTACATATCCGTCTAACTGTTCTTCACCCAAGTGTTTGGGGAAAGCTGATGTATTCACAAGTAAAGTAGAAAGCAACACATGAGGCGTAAACTAAGTTTTGAGAGTTCTACACAGGTGACAGAGTCCTGGTTAAAGATCCTAGGGAAGAGCACACTTGGTGGCCCGACTCCATAGCTGAGCGGAGCGGACAAAAGTATTACAGGTTCCTACCAGTCATGTTGACGTAAGGCAGTCGACCACTTGATGTTTTACCCCAGTTTTCCTAGAAGCTAGATTTTAACTCGGTTTACAGGTTCAAGTCATGACGGTTATAGTTTTATGTGCCACGCAGATAATGAAGGGTTTTGAGGGGTCAAAGAGGGGTAAAAGGGAACGGGGTGGACGAACTTTGGCCTCGAACAATGTTACTGAACAATTTGTTTGCAAATTACATCTGTCGAGACGGAATTAGCATCAAACTTGTCCCCAGAGTCCTTCCCGTCTAGAGAATACCCTGGAAACTGCAGCGGATGCTCTCAAAACTATACTTCTTAATATCAAATTACTTTCGAATGTTTGAGTGTTTAGCTCTCCTTCGTTAATTAAAAATTGCGTCCATCTGAACAAATTTTGCATTAAAAGGATTGATGATGGTGGGAACTGAATATCTATTAAAATTTTGAGCCGAGATTCATTAAATATGTTTGGATTTGAATCCTATCATTATGAACTTCGGTGTTCTACACGCATGGTTGGGTCTATATTAGTTACCTAAAAATGTTTGTCTTAAGGATATTAGATGTTATTTACTTACAGCTGAGTAAAATTTATGTTGTTGTTGAAGACGCCCAGTGGTAACTCTGCTATGTGATTGTGATGTAAGAACCAACGTAAAGGATATACATCTGAACCTCTATTAAGCGGCACCGTATAAAGCTGTCGCCCTGTATTAACCGGTCGGTTGTTAAATTCCCGAATTTGTTTTCCATAAATCATTGTAAAATCCTCCTCTAATAAGTGGTCTCGGTCACTCTTTACAGAGTCCCAGTCTGTATTGTCATTCACCTGTATTGAACAGTCACCTAAGGAACCCCCCAAATAAAACTTAGCAAAATAGTTTATATATGAGGAAGACTGTTCACTTACAGCCACTGCAGCTTGACTAATTGGGAAAATAAGTCGCCTGACAAATTCTTCAACTTGTTGCCGTTTAACCGCCTGTAAGTTTCGGAAAATTTGTATCACGAATACGTGGAGTACTGGTGTGAAAAGAAATACAGAGTGCGAGGCCCTTTCTACTAAAAGGAAACACTTGCAAGTCCTCTAAATACTAGCCACGCCTATGCAAAGTGAAGGACTGAACTTAGAAACTAAGAAAACAACAGTAAGCTAACGTGGAAATGTTTTGAGCAAAAGTTCACATTCTATCATGTACAATTAAATATACAAGTTAAGCTTATTATGAGGTTTCTTTAAGTCTCTCCAATGCATCTGCCATAACGTGAGGATAATTATGTTTTATTTACCTCTTGGTTGAAGACGCTTATTGAATATTCACTCATAATCAACAAATACCGAGACTCTAAGCGCATTACTATAGCCGGTTAGGATAAACGTAACATTTATATTTTGTCATGAAATGGCTATGTTCATCCCCACATGCACCTTTAATTAAATCGAGTATGCCGCTGTCAGTGCACCATAGTAAAGGGTTGTACAAAGTGGCCATGAGAGTGAAGTTTTGCTCCTACAGCAGCTTCGGATTGACCAATGACTTTAATAAGTCAACTGGCTTTTAAAGCCACTAACGACCGTCTGTTACTCACCATGAATTGAGCTCGAAAAAACTTTGCCGATATCTGATAGATAAGAATGTGTGCATAATCGATGCAATTGCAAAGGTTTTAAATTTTTACTCACAGGTCAGTCAACTCGGTGTTGTAAGTGAAGACTCCAGGTGGTAGTGCTCCTATTTGGTTGTCATCCAAGTACCTTTTAGAAGGATACATTCTTTTTTATCTGAAGTCTATTCTGGGCTATTAAGACCCAGATTTCCAGATTAAAACAGTGTTTATAATGATAGATGCCTTAAGTTAAACATGAAACAGAAACTCAGCCAATAACGCAGTCGACCACGTGATGTTTTGCCTCAGTTTTGCCAGAAGCTAGGTTTGAACTCGGCTTACAGGTTCAGGTCATGACGGTTTTATAGTTGTGTGTACCACGCAGATAGTGAAAGGTTATGAGGGGTCAAAGTGGGGTAAAGGGAGGGGGTTGGACGAACTTTGGACTTATCTATTTTTGAACCGGGGAAGAGGGATTCTAGGTGCTAAACCTGATGTGCGACTGAGAAAATAGTAGACTTAAGTCCCTACCATTGTAAATAGGCTGGTCAGTTTAACGTCTTCTGTTGTACTTGAGTACTTTTTGTAGATAATACATTTATATTTTATGTGGCATCGAAAAATGTAGCTTTTAAGACTCCACCATTACTTTGTACTCGAATGGTTTCAATAAGTCTTTTGGTGAGGTGATGGGATTGAAAACCTTCTCTACGAATGGCTGAGTTTTGTGAAATAATACAGTTTGAATAATTTCGAATATAAACCTGTTATGGCTAATTTACAGGTAAGTCAACTTGGTATTCATGGAGAAGACTTCTGGTGACAGCTCTTTGATTAGGTTAGCACTCAAGTACCTTCGAGAAGGATATACCCTTAATCTCATGTCTATTTTGAGTTAGTTTTAACCCATTTTTCCAGATTTAGTGAGTGTTAGAAAAAATAATCATCACTGCAGGTTAAACACGGAGCAGTGACCTAGGTAATAGTACTTTTTAATAATAGATGTTTTTAAAGTGTTGTGATAAATGCATTTTATTGAAATAATACAGTTTGAATAAACCTGTTATGGCTTACTTACAGGTGAGTCAACTTGGTATTCATGGCAAAGACTCCTGGTGGCAGCTCTTTGATTTGGTTACTAGACAAGTACCTTCGAGAAGGATATTTTTTCCAGATTTAGTCAGTGTTAAAAAAAAAAAAAATCATCATCGCAGGTTAAACATAGAGCAGTGACCTAGGCAGTAATACTTTTTAATAATGGATGTTGTTTAGCAATGTGATAGTTCACATCTCCAAAACTATTTTGATTCTTGCTGCTTGTTTGTTTTCAGTTCGAAATATCCTTCCGGTCCCTACTAGTATCATGCTGCCAACGTAAAGCACTCCACCACGTGATGTTGTTAACCCGTTTTACATGTAGCTAGGTTTATACCCACTTTGCAAGTTTAAGTCATTATATTTTGTGACAGTTATATAGTTTAATGCGCTACGGAGATATTAAAAGGTCATAACGAGAAAAAGATAGGCGGTGAAGGAGCGGGGATGAGGTATAATTTATCAATTTTCGAACCGCTTTTTGAAAGCTGACGTCTCGAGCGTTAGCCCTTCGTCAGAGCGAATGACCACAGTTCCTTCCTTTCGAAACTTACCCCCTCCATCGATCCTTTATCGATATTTTATACTTGTGATGGGTCTGTATCAGTCTGTATTGTAAAGATGCGTGCCGTGGAACACGCAGATATATATGTTATTTACTTACAGCTGAGTCATCTCAACGTTGTTATTGAATATTCCACGCGGTAGCTCTGCTATGCGATTGGCATGTAAGTTCCTACACAAAGGAAATACCCTGACTTTAGAATTTTTCCAAAATTTTTAGATCAATCAGAGTCAGCTGGTATTGAAAAAAGAAGGTGCTCTTGGTTAGGAATGGAACTGAACCAAGTCAATAGTATTAAATATAAATGGATGAGGGTTAACAATTTGATTGTTGATATCAGTATAACTGTTTTGATTCTTGCAGCTCGTTTGTGTTTAGTCATTCATTGAGTGAGATTCTCTCTAAAGTAAGATTATTAATTAAACAAGTGATGCTGTAATTTTACTTCTTATGCTTGATTGTTACAGACCGTAAAGGTTTAAGAATCTCTAGCCTCCTGTTATGAGAGGTCGAACTGAAAAAACGCTTCGGAAATATGTTCC